CCAGCTCCTGTTGGAGCTAATACTTATAATAATTAAATACTTTTTTCATATTAAATTAGAACAAGATAAAATATTTTGAATAAAAGTATTAAATAATCATATACATAAAACATAAGATTTAAAGTAATTGGCCGAACTCGAGGGTATAGCCAAGGAAGGAATAGGATAGGGAGAAAGAGGTGAGTGAGGGAAGAGAAGAAAGAGAAGGGATGTGTGTAGGGGGTGGGGGGGAAAAGAGGTAGAAAGGAAAGGAGGAAAATAATCATATACAAACGAAAATTTACAAAAACTGATATTTATTTACCTGAGTTTGATTAATTTCTTTTTTTGTTAATTGCATATCTCCTGTCAACTCTCGAACAATTACATTAAAAACGTCAAGTCTTCTGCTAAAATTTCTAGTCATTTCAGATGCAAGGGCTTTCATTGGAGCAATGTAAACTATCTAAAAGAAAATATCCATACAGAATATTTTATTTTTAATTAAAACATATTTTATTCATTTAAATTTTTCAATATTTCTGTATTAATAAAAATTAATCGGCAATAAACTTCTTTTAAATATAGAATAAAATAATTATTATTATACATATATATAATAAAAAGACTATAAACTTTAAAAATTGTTGGATTAATATTATAAATTTTCATAAATGAACATTTAACTGTTTTGAAATGTTTTGATCGAAAACAAAATATTTTTCCACAATATTCCAATTCATTTAGAAATATTAAAAATTACATTCACAGTAAATATTTGAATAATAATTTTAAGTAATTTAGAATGCAATGAACAAACAGTATATAGCTTTTCTGATGATTAATAAAGTACAAACCATAGACTTTTAATTTTGGAAATTTTGATTTCATTAAAATATTAAGAGTTAGATACCTGAAGTGCTAACAACAGATTCTTATAATCAAGATTGTTCCATGTCTCTAATTCAATATAACTGATAAAGATATAATCATGGCATCATTTTGTCTTTGAATCAATATCAGCTGGCAATATAGATTGGAATCTTAATTTCTATGTAGTATAAAAATAGTCTGCTAATGTAAAATCAGATCAGATGTGAATTATATGCATCAAAAACTATATTCCTTTGATGAAATATATCTTGAATGATGAAATAAGTCATCGTTTTATATAAATGATTACATATGTATCCAAAAGGAAAGAAATTCAATGCTACTAGTGTGAAGTTAAATTGTAAAAAAAAATTAATAATAATAAATAAGTTTTTAATTTAATACAAAAGAATTTATTAAAAACGAATAATGCAGATTCTCTGTTATTTTCTAACAATAAAAATATGTATGGTCATATCTTTAAAAATTTATGAGAATTTATTTCTAAACTTTATAAAATTTGATATTATTTATATTAAAATAAATTAATTAAACAGTCGATTAAGCAAAAGAAGTTTGCAAATATTGCAAATTACATATAATTCAATCAATATTATATGAAAATAATCCAAATGAATAAACAAACACAAACTTGAATAAATATTCAAGAAAAAAGTGATTATTTTGTAATCAGTTTTGCAATGATTAGAGTATCTATAAAACTATATATTAACAGTGGCATGCCATGACATTTGATAATAGGGAAGCTTTGTTTCTCTAAGACGATTTTCAGGGGCAATTAGTTAACTGCGCATCAGTGATGGTCTAGGGTCCATTCATATTCGTTTGTTCGATAAACCAATAAAAACCGTAGACTTCTCTAAATGTATTTTTAATATCACAATTACATTCTGAATTGCTAGCCATGATATATGGGCTAAAATTAAAAATAAAATAATAAAAACTTACTTGGTAAAATAAAATGTGTGGTGGATATACATACTTGGTACAAAATATTCTTCAATTGTATGAATATACTTTTAAAGAAAATTATAATTAAATATAGCTTTGTAAAGAAACGTACATAAAAATAACATAAAATCTTCTTTACTTTTTAAATCTTAAAACAATCCACTTAGTCAAATAGCTCCCTACCAGTAGCTGATGGAAGGAATCAGAGTAGGTTGCAGTGTGTGCATACACATGAGCTGCCAAATCCCAAGGGTGCCGATACTGGTCAATGTCAAATGCCTCTTTTGTCGCATCACTAATATACCTCAAAGGACGCAACAGGGTTGTTGTAAATTTTAAACATTTCTCGCCATAGTTGTAAAAATCTAAATATATTAAACTCAACCACTAGTCTGTGATTTGTTTTCTAATTTGTTTTAGGACCAGGTGCCCATGGAAATTTCCAAAATTTACAACTTTTCAGGGACTCTCATTGAACTGGAAAAATTTCTGTCTTTATTATCTAATATTATGAAGAAATCCATCCCCACTGTACTCTGCTAGAGATTGGTTTGGTTAAGCTTTTAAGTAAAATTCCAGCTCTTTCAGCAGGGTTTTATGTCCCTAACTCCCTAATCTCTTAATTATTTAACTACTTAAGTAGAAATAAGTTGAAATCAGTTACTTTGTACTTGAATATTTGTAGTCTCGGGAAAGAAATGGAAAGACAAATTTTTATGACAATGGATACATAAATCAAAAATTTAAGGAAAATAAATTCTAGAGCTTGTGCATCTCATTCATTAAATTTAGTTGAAAATTGATACTGCCAAAGTAACAGCTAATTTTTTAACATTATACAGCAATTGAACACATTTTTTTGTTCATCCCCTTGTATATGGGACATACTAACTTGTAATATCATTAGTTTAACATTGAAATCTGTAAGTAATACAAGATGGGAGAGCAGAATAAATATATCAAATATTTTAATGGATTTTTTTTAAACTCCTGTCAACTATATAGAACTATCATAAAAAACATACCAGTAAACTCCTATCAGTTGGGTTAAGTTATAAATCTACTTGTGATTCACATAATGGGGCGAGGGCAGCCAAATATCTAGTACGTGGGTGGCTAACAGCCCTGGATAGAATCATTGAAAGTGTTATACGATATTTTGGTGTGTAGCTTCCACCAGCTAAACTGGGTGAGGTTGGTGCTCTGTAAAGCGCATGTGCAAATGCATATAATCTAGCTGCTTGGAAGCTGTCCCATATTCAACAATACAGCACTTCCATTCCGCCACTGATATTCCAATATACAATAGTAATCTTATCATTTTTTTCACATGTAGTATAAAAATTTGTAATAAGATACATAATGCAGTTATAATAAAGATATTAATTTTAATGAATTCAAAGTACGTCAAAATATGAACATAATTGCACAATATGTAATTATATTTTAGAAAATACAAGGGAAGTGGCGCTTCCACCACTTCCAAGGACAGCACACCACTAAATATTAATATCAAACGTATAGAATTTAATTTATAGCACTTAAATATCTTATATTAAAAAAATATAAAAATAAAACAAACCTTAAAATTATTATGTTTCAAAACTCTATTTTCCATATGTTGTTTTAATTCATGTAGTACTGTCAACATAGCAATATTTGTTTTACCAGCTCCTGTTGGAGCACAAATAAGTAAATTTTCATTTGTATTATAAGCTGTATTAAATACAACTGATTGTATTCTATTCAATGTTTTCATTCCTTTGAAACCTAATTGACCAACCTAAAAAATAATTAAAATAAAATTTATTGTAATGATTTTATAATACTGATTTATTAATCTTTATTATAAGTGTTCTAATTAAATTAATTTTTATAAATCCTAATTAATATATCCTTATAAACACAAACTTTTTCTGTACAAAAGCTAGTAGAAAGTAGTAACAAAAATTTTGAACAGCCATCAAGAAATCCAAATACCTAAATTTTAAATGGTCAAATATCTAAATTTAATGTCAATCATAAATGATTGTCATTAAATTTAGGTATTTGGATTATGTATTAGGTACTGAACCATATTCAAATCAATTAGAAGTGATTCAGCACACTTATAAATCCAAACTAATTGTGGAGTTGCCCAGATTAGTAAAAAATTGACAAAACAGTAAAAGAAAAAAATTTGTAAAAATTGGCTTTTGTCACATCCTGAAACAAGAATTTAGTAAACTAACATTCTTAAGAAACATGTTTATGTTTTGAAAAAGTTTCAAAATGATGAAAATGCACCAATTCACAACATCTTTTTTACACACAACTACAGGAGTCCAGAGATTTTATCCTCTCTACAGTTAGTGCTTTTTGGCATTTTGAAACATTTGTTTTTTTAATTGTTAATTTATTAAGTACTCACTCTTATTTGAATTAAATAACAAGTAACAAATACATTCTGAAATAGATTTTCAGGATGTATTTTAACAATTTAAATTATCTCATTATATTTTATAATTAACATACCTCATCTAATGTTTCTACTGATATTAATGTGCTTCCAATATCTGCAGGAGGTGGATCACTAACTGGTATTATTACTTCTTGATATTTTGAATTGTTTATTTGTTTATGTCCAACTGGAAGTATTAACTAGAAAAAAATTTTAGTTTTTAAATAAAAATCAATTATATTGTATACAAAAAACATTTAAATAAATAATCAAGAAATATAAATAGTATACAAATAAATCTATGATAGTAATTATATATATATATATGTTAGTTTTTAGTTAGAACGCGTTTTAACTAGTTAAAACTAGTTTATACTGAATGTCTTTGTTAAAACCCGTTTTGTCTAGTTGAAACTGGTTTATACTGAATGTCTTTGTTAAAACCCATTTTGTCTAGTTAAAACTAGTTTTAACTTTTAGAATTTGAGTTAAAACTAGTTTTAACTCAAATTCATTTTTGACTACAGTAAATTCTAGTTTTGTCTAGTTAATTTACTGCTGTATATGTTTTGACTTTAGATAAAACTAGTTTTAACTTTTAACATTAGTTAAAACTAATTTTAGCTACATAAATATGTTTGGGGGAAATAAAGTTATGTATAGTGATTCGGCGGAAGATGCCTAACATTTTGCTTATGAAGAAAATTACAGCGCTAATTTGAGTTTAGGAGCCCTCTAATGAAAATATCATATTCTGGAGTATGTCTTTCAAATAAAAGTTTGGAGTTTATTTTAAAAAATTCTATACTGTGTTTGCAATGACGACTTTTTCACTGTCTGGCATTTTAAGCATCTCACCCCAAGTATCTGGGTGAGATGCCAAATGCCATTAGGGTAAGATAACAAATATAATTGCTTAAAATTAATTTTTGAATTTCTTAACCAAATTTAATTTATTGCATATGTAGTACAAAGTACTTCATAGTAAGTATAACAGCACAGTATAAGTATTGTTAAGTTTCCGCCCGTTCTAACGTGTTCTATAGCTAGCTGAAAGCTTTTTTCAGTCCAAAAACTTTTTTGAGAAGTCCTTATATAATTTCTATGCATATCCTGCAATAAAACGAGAAAACAAAAGTTTATTAAAAATAGGCATATTGGAAATCAATTAACAAAAAATAGGCACGTTACCCCAAGAAAAATGTGGCATATTTTCCATTTGTTGGGGTAAGATGCCTAGTAGAGTCACGTGCTCCAGCATGTCCGATCGGGATCGGCGGTAGCTGACAATGGAAACTTTAGAACCTTAACTACATCACACATTAATTGTTTTTAGCAATTTTTAATAAATTCCATTTTAACTTTTAGTTTAAAATTATTCTAGAAACATTTCACAACAAAAACTTCGTTCTTATCTAGCTTTTATTCTTCTCGGATGTAGAAAATGAAGTAACGGTAGCCAACTACAGCTTTCCGCACTCAATATTGGCCCAACGATTCATCATACAAATACATGACAATATGTGACGTCACCGTTTGAAAATATCAAAAATTAGGCATCTTCCCCCGCTTACCATCTTACCCCGAATCACTCTATGCGTTGCAGTCAAACCAGTTTTTAGTTAGGATGCGTTTTAACTAGTTAAAACTAGTTTATACTGGATGTCTTTGTTAAAACCCGTTTTGTCTAGTTAAAACTAGAATTTACTGCTAGTCAAAAATGTATTTGAGTTAAAACTAGTTTTAACTAGACAAAACAGGTTTTAACAAAGACATTCAGTATAAACTAGTTTCAACTAGTTAAAACGTGCTCTAACTAAAAACGGGTTTTGACTGTAACATATATATATATATACAGAAAGAAAATGAAAACCAAATTTTATGATCTATTTGGAAAACTATTGATAAATGGATACAAAAATGTCATAGATTTAAATGGGCAAGTAACACATTGCCTGTTTGATTGAATGCAGAATGACAAAAATGCTCTATTAGACAAAGAAATTATGACAAACAGTAAGATCTAGGAAGATGTGAGAAAAAATGCACTGCAAAGGACTGGAAAATAAAGGCAGAAAATAGTGAGAGATAAAAGAATGTAGTGAACGTGGCAGAGGCCTGGATCATCATCATGTGGATTTTGTGACAAAGCCCATAAAATCCAGATGGTGATGATAAAAATTATTCTAAAGAAGAATATACTAAATAATTTCTAAACAAACACTGAGCATTATAAAAATGGAAATACAGTAGAGCGTCGATTTTCCAAATCAATTGGGGACTGGGGTTGTCCAGATAACTGATATTTCGGATAACTGATTTACGTACGAAAAAATAGTTTAACGTATCTGATGTCGAAATTTTTCTCCATTGCGTGTCGCTTCGCATTGAATTTTCATCGATGTTAAACATAACAAAGACTATTGTATCATTAAAAATTATTTTTTTATTTTGTACAAACAAAATAAATATATTGAAAAATATAAAAATAATAAAAAATTATACTTCAGATGTTAATTTAGTATCAAAAACGTAAAATATTTGAGTAGCCCAAGACATAGCCAAAGATTGCAGCGCCACAGCACTGGCGAAAATTTAAATTTGCCGACTGGAATTCTTTCGGATGATTGACGTTTCGGATGATTGACTTTCGGAAAATCGACGCTCTACTGTATTCTAATAATGATACATTAGTTAAATAAAAATATTTTTCAATAATTAAATAATTTAATAAATGTAATGAATTTTTGTTTATCACAATAACAGTTATTACAGGAAACATTTATCAAAACTTAAATATAGTATAAAAGAGTTTGTTTTAAAAAGTGTTGTGTATCAGTATGCCTTTATTGAGTCATCTTACTACCCAAAACCGATTTAAAAATCTGAATTCTTTATATATAAAATACATAATTTGGTAGTTGACAAGCTGTGAGCCCTGTTGTTTTTATTTTTACCATAATACTTATTTTTTGTATTTTTACCAGAAACTTTATTATTTTGTTTACCTTTTTTAACCCACTTATCTTTATTATTATGATACCAGGCCATCATAGTTTGGTCAGTTTTTGTAATTATTTGGATTTTATATATTGTTCATTTATTTAATGTATTTCTATTGTTTTATTCTTTCATAAAGTGGATGAAACACATACTAAATAAATAAAATATATAATTTACAAAATGTATCAAAACAGAAATTTTATTCGATAAATTATTAAAAACAATTAAATTTATTAAATAAAAATTTTGCATAAATACCTTATTTCCACTGATAAATGCAGAAGTTAGTTTTGATTCTGAATAAATATCAAAAACATAAGGAAATTTTTCTCTTTGAATGGGAACTACTTTCTTGTATAAAGGAACTTGCACACTTTTAAGTAATTCTGCTTCTCTGGAAAAACAATAAAATAGTTTGACTACAGACTCTTTTAAAAATAACAAATATAATATACCGTATAATGTTTTATATCTCTTAATGTAAATATCAAAGTAAATCATATAAAATATTTAAACAATCTCGTACTCACTCGTTTAACCTTTACTTTCCGGTACTGCTTAAACTTCATAAAACAAACGTTTTTGGCCTCACTCGAGGTCTGCTTCAGGTTACAAGAAAAACTGGTTTCCAATCTTAGAACGATTCTTGAAGGAACGTTCTAAGATTGGAAACCGGTTTTTCTTGTAACCTGAAGCAGACCTCGAGTGAGGCCAAAAACGTTTGTTTTATGAAGTTTAAGCAGTACCGGAAAGTAAAGGTTAAACGAGTGAGTACAAGATTGTTCAAAATACCGGTATTCAGAATAGGAGATATTGTGATAAAATATTTAATATTAAATACATGAAGAATTGATAGTAATTAAAAGAAGTCATTTTTATTAAATGATTAAAATAAATTAGTATTTATATTCATAATATGTAAATAAGCTAACAAAAAATAATAAATATTAACTTTTATTCAATATAGAGGGCATTCAAAAGTCTAGTCACAGAAATTTATTTTCAACAATATGGAGCATGTTTTTAAAGAAAATGTTCAGCATATTTCCTTTAATCAACATGCACTTTTACAGATAAATCCATGTTTCTTATTATTGATAGACCATAATAAAATAAATACCAAATCAAAATCAATATTTTTTATCACCTGTTGGGATATTGACCCCTATATGCTCTGTTGAATACAAAAAAATGTGACATTTCTTATAAAAGTGTGTAGAGATTGAAGAGTCATATCAAGCATATTCTTTAATAACACAGTGGTGCCTCGTACTTTGAATTTAATTCATTGCAGAAGACCATTTAAAATCCAAATCAATTTTTCCCCATTAAAAATAATGGAAAATGAATTAATCCATTCCAATACCCATTTCAACAAAATTAAAACAGAAAATACACATAATTTAAAGTAAAAATAACACAATTAAATACCCTAACAATGAATTAAAACACAAAAACAATAAATAAAATACATAACTATTGTATAATAAAATGAAAATTGCATTTACTGGTAGCACACCATCAACTTTGGCATTTTAAACATGGCTGCGACATCTGTCACACAATGTTCCTGCTTTGTGATAAGTTCCTTTCTCATCTCAATCATTGATACAACCTTCCTCTTAGATTTTGTTGCTTCCACACACTTCTTGGATGCCATGGTTAATAAGTAAAGATTATATTGGATTGAACAGAAAGTTTCTGGTATTTTTAACAGCCCTTGTTACTTAACATAGATATGAGATTTAATTATAACAGTTGTGAAATTGAACAGTTATTGCTAATATGAGATTGTGTTTCTTTGTTAAAAGCTTATTTTAAACTTTTTACTTTGCATTTTGTTTGAATAAAATCAAGTTGAAATGTCTTCAGATAAAAATTATATGGGGCACATTATGCTTTATGAGTATCAGAAAGAATATAATGTCATACAAATAGTAAAAACATTTGTAATGAGGGGAAAATGCTCCCTCAATTATACAAGCGCTAAGGTGGCTTTGAACACAAAACTAGACAAGAAGCATATCACACAAGATGCTCCTTACTTCAAACATGTCAAATGTGGTTTAAACAGTTTCATTCAGAAAATTTTGAACTATAAGATACAAAATGTATGGGAGTGCCCAAAAAAAAAATGACAAAGAAAAATTGCAGAAAGAAATTGTTAAAAATCTATGAATAATCAAACACACAAAAATAAGACAAAAAAAATCACTGAAAACATATGAACATAACAAGCAAGAGATGACTTGGGTGCACAACAGATTGTATTTATGTTTCAAGCACATTTTTTCACTGCAGGCACAGTTCAAACTCCTAAATAAATTTTTGTCAAATTTAATGTTCAAACTATGAAATGTTCATAGAGTCATTCAAAGTATGAGATACAACTGTAAATGCTTTTTTCTATGATTCCAGACTTTCCAAATACTCTGAATAATGTGTAAATACATTTTTGTCAATAACACAATAATAATAAAAACAATATACAGTAGAACCTCGATTATTCGAACCTCTATTATCCAGATTTTTGATTATCCAGATTGTTCAAAATAAACAAAAATTTTACGAATTTGCTCATTTGCACTTGGCGAATTACGATACTGTTTATGTACATGATGGAATGCATAACTTTTTTTGTTTCAACAACGTCTCACCCAGCACAGTGGCCGTAAACTCTTAAATATATTTTGTGTCGTAATAAAAATATAACTTGACATACGTATTTATAAATAATTTATTTTACAAATTACATCATTTCTATGACCAAGGGCGGCGTAAGGCATGGGCAACATGGGCCACCGTCTATGCCTCGCGGTCCGAAGAGCCTCGTGTTTTGAAGGTTTATGCATTACTTACAAGCCGCGAACGCGACGAAAAAATTTTACTCGTCATAAAACAATAAATAGTTTGTCAAATTTTTATTCATAAAAATGCAGTTTCAACTGCTTTTTATTTTATAAAATCTGTCTTCTTGTGCCACCAGGGGGCCTTTTAAATAATAGGTAGTCTGTTAGCGTTGGTCAGTAGTAGTCCAAATTCAATACGAATGTTTGTTTCTTAAAAATTTGATCACGATTTAAATACAGTATTTATTTTTAATATTACCAATATGTCATTGAAAAGAAAACGTGTTGTATTATCATTAAAAGACAAATTAAAGTATTTGTTTTGATTATCCGGATTTTTCCTTATCCGGACTACCTTCATCCCCAATTAGTCCGGATAATCGAGGTTCTACTGTATTTTTAATAAAATCATGTTATTGTTAGACTAGGAAACTTTGCTAAAAGAATGAAACAAAAACAAATCATATGACTTAAGAGTTATGTTAAACAGTCGTTATCATCACTAAAAAGCTTTTAAAAAATTGACCTAATCCTCATTCTAACATTTTGGAATGTAGCCAAAATTCTTCATAGCACAGATATCCTTGAACTTTCAAACTGAAATTTCTTGCTTTCTAGACCATTAGAAATGTTAAAATAAATGTGAAAAGAAAAACTATCATTAAAAATACTAAGTGAAACTTTTTATCCATCAAATTAACATTGTACTATCTCTTCTGTTGTTCAACATCTGATTTGCAAAGACTGCAAGTGAAAAACTTGTTTATTATCCCAAGTAATGAAGCAAGATATTTTCATCTATGTCCCTTATTACTTTGATCTAGAAATCAGAACCTATTAATTTTACATTGGTAGTACATAAAGACAGACTAAAAAAAAAATTAAACATATGTTTGAACAAAACACAATTGCATTGACAGAGCAAGCATTACACAACAATCTTGTTAAATGGAAAAATCTCTAATATTTCCTTCCATTATACCCTGCTGCTTAAAACAAAGATTTTTTTTTTCTTGCAAACTTCACAAGAAAGAAGAAAATGTAACATTAGATCTGTGTGTGCAGGCTCTCACTTAAAATATTATACAGTGATACCTCAGGATACGAAATTAATCCGTTCTGAAACTGAGATAATATCATGAAAATGTCGTAAGGTGAATCATTTTCCCCATACGATTACATGTAAAACCAAATAATTCATTCCAACACGAAAAAAAACACACTCAAATTAAAGCTAAGAAGTACATTGAAAAAAAAACTTTAGTAAGGAAAACACTGGAAAATGCATTTTGTAGTTGTAAATGTGTAAATAACCATAATAGAACAATAATTGATAAAAAAAAATGTAGTTTTATTTGCACTTTATCTTTGAGGATAGACGATGGTGGTGGTGTAAACTGGTGGAGGAGGAGAGGGAGAAGGAAAATGATACTAAAACTTAACTTACATAACATAATGTAACAATAACTTAAAAAATAACTTAGAAAAGATTAAAAAATTAGTGTTGTTTTATATATATAAAACAACACTAATTTTTGTGCTGTGGAAGTGAAGAAAAGAAAGCAAAAAGCAGTGAATGAAAATTAAAAAAAAAAAATATATATATATATATATATATATATGTATGTATATGTGTATGTATGTATGTATGTATGTGTGT